ATACACCATCGCCATTGTGATCGATTCGGAGCCATGTCACCAAGAGTCTCCAACCATTGGTTACGATAGTCAGGCGGACCCCAACCAAGTAGTCTGCATCTCCCAACATTGCTCAGATCAGAAGTTAGTGGCTTTGTGGACTGATGCTACGTTTTGGTTTGACTGCCACTAAATTTATTTCATCCTTCTCCAACATTATTCAGCATTGCTCATCGTGGTAATCGGTGTTAAGGCATACGTAACATGTGGTCCAACCATTTCAGTCGATGAAGATTCACAACCTCATCAACTGATTTACCATCGTTCCCTAATACCCTGTGTCTAACCTCACTATTACTTACCCGGTGATCCCAGCAATATTTCTTAGACACCTGTGGTCAAATACTAGTGCCTCACGAGTATCCTCTACTCTTAATGGCCATCTTTTGATGCCGTCAATTAAAACAGAATGAACTGTCGCACAGTATACTCGTCCTTTTATTGATAGACGAATATCTCGCCTTCGCCATAGATGACGTAAGTTGGCAAAAGCCAAACGAGCTTTTTGAATCCGTGCTGAGATTTCATCAAACATCAACTCATTAGGGCTGATCAGACTTCCAAGATAAGTGAAGGTGTTGATGCGTTTTACCACTTCATATCCTATCCTTAGTTCAGGAGTTGACGCAGACCAGTCCTGAAGCAACAACTTGCATTTAGAGGGAGAGAAGCGCATTCCAAACATTCTGGCATTGTTGCTTGGTGCTACCAAAAGACTCTGCATTTTATCGGCGTCTTCACCAAACAGGACTATATCATCTGCGTATTCTAAGTCCATAAGTGGATCTCCTGGAAGGAGATCAATACCCAAGAATTCAGTCGACGATAATGTTATTTCTATCAATAGGTCTATGATGGAGTTAAACATAAATGGAGAAGGTGGACAGCCTTGACGGACACTACTTGAGGTTGCAAAAAAATCACAGTCCGCCATAAGCTCTGACTCGACTAGTAGTGTTCGAGTAAAGAGCCTTCACAAGGTTCATGTACTTCTGAGGTACGCCCTTCAATGACAGACACTGCCACAGTATCTCGCGGTCAAATGCTGCTCTTAAGTCAAGAAAGACCACCATTGTCGGACGCCGATAAGTATGCCTGTGTTCTAGAACCTGACGAATGGTGAATATGTGATCGATGCAGCCACGACCAGGTCTGAAGCCAGCTTGGTTCTCTCGTGCTTGCAGTTCACGAGTCTTAGTTAGGCGTCTGATAATTATCGAGGCTAGTATTTTAGATATTATATTAGTTAAACTAATCCCTCTATGGTTGTCACAGGATGATTTTGACCCTTTCTTATATATTGGGACGATAAGTGATTGAGACCAGTCAGATGGAATAACGTCTAACTCCCAGGTCTTAGCTAAAGTATTAGTCAGCCTAATCGCTAAAATTGGACCAACATCCTTAAACACTTCTGGAGCCAATCCATCTGCCCTTCCACGTTTCAGATTAACTATAGCCTTTTGAACTTCAGCTACAGTTGAGGGACCTACTTCAATGTCGCATCCAGTGTCTGGGAATGAGGTGTGGTTGTAGAGTAGCTGAAGACCAGCTGAACTGTTCTCTGAAATGTTCCGCCCATCGTTCTAAACGTCTGGACTGGAAGCAGATGAGAGTATCGTCTTTCTCCGAAATAATCTGACTTACACTTGACTTATTAATTCCAGTTTCTTTTATTAGTCTGTAAAGCTATCTTGTGTTCCCTATAGTCGCCGCATTTTTCATCTCTTTTGCTTTCGTTACCCACCACTGCTCATGGTCGTTCCTTAGACTTTTGCTTAACCTAGATCTGATTTGTTTACGGTCTTCATTATGTTCAGAACCTGATGGGACGAGTTTGCGAGAATCCATCAGTGTGATAGACCTTGAAGAAATCCACTGGTTCTTTGTAACTCTGTGGTTTAAGTCACTAATAGATGTCACTGCTGTTTCCACAGCTGATTGTATGCCTTTCCAAGCAACATATGGGTCAATCTCGTTTCCAGAACTACCTAAGTGTGACCTCAGTTGTTCCTGGAATCTACTTTTGGTTTCCTCATTACTCAATTCAATTTTAATGGGTCTTTTTAGTGTGCGTTTTTGTATCCAGTGAGGCGCAAACAGATGCGTGCCTGTATTAGGGCATGGTCGGAGTACAAGCAGGTACGTGGTTTCAGAAAAACTGCTTCAGTATTCGTATTTGGTTGTAGCATACAATTTTCAACCGAACAGTGACTCGAAAACGTTTAGATAGAACCGAGTTTCCACCATAGGCGAGCTGCTGTATAAGTCGAAAAATAAGGATACACAGAGTGGGAATAAAAGAGAGTGAATAAGTGACGTGGTAAACAATAATAATTTGAATTGTTTGACTGTTAATCGAAGCGTGAACAGTCTTTTCAGTAACTATCTTCATTTCATTCTGTGTGTGTGAGCTGTGATATTACCCAGGTGCCCAAACCGAAGCAGGTGGTTTTCTTAGGGGGCCACACCCCGAGCCTTTGACCTGAAGGTCTGATCCACAAGGCAGTGGAGCAACGTAAGGAGATGCAGTTCCATGACAGCCGGTAACCAACAATTGGTTCATACGCCATTTGTTCCTTCAGGGTACTGGAGCCCATGTGCACGATTGGTTTGTGATCCGGTTAAAGCGCCGGAAATTCGCTTTTCGTCCTCTCATTTTCGTAAACAACACCCCCGCCACGAAAAGGCAGTAGAACTTCCCTGGCAGAGGCTGTATACGTGTGGCGATGTGAGAGCACTTCGAGAGGGAGGGCGGGCCCTCCCCACTCTCGACTGTACCACGGCATTTGGGGGTAAATAGTTATGACTTCGTTTATTTGCGTAAATATTGTGCCCCTAACATTGAGGCTTTTAAAGCAGTTCTGTAGATATTTTTCTGATGGAGAAGAGTTAGTCCGGAATCAAAGCCACGCTGACCTGCCCACGAGTGGTAGTCAAATAAACCTAGGCAAATATTCTGAATAATGATTTTACGGGGTTCCCACCCATATGATTATGAGCTATTATAACTAGGCAAACCTATTTGAATAGAAACACTCAATAACAGTAGAACTTCGTCATATTTATATAAATTGCCAAAGCAGAATAAGGACGACAGATGATTTCTATGTTGCGGACAATTAGTAAAATACTAATAAAATGAAAAGAGCAAGTGATGTTCAGGAAATGTGAAGAAGCTAATAAGAATTGTTGCAGAAAATACACTCAAGAGTCTATGAAAACTAGAATGAAATGTTTATCCTTATTAGTTAAAGAAACTATATTGTCATGAATTGACAACGATAAACTTTTGAACTCCCAAACTTTTTAGTGTGAACTGACATTTATTTAAGCAGTCTATTTTTAAGCAGATAAAATAGTTGAAACTGATTTGGCTACTTGATTAGCCTCTAGAAAAAAAATGTGAGGAATCGACAGCTGGGGATTCGAAAAGTAAGAGGTAAGTAACTAGCCAGATACATTAACCGTAACGTGATTACGGTTCATACTTAATGAGTCTTTATACACGTTATTGATTAAAAAAACTAACCTCAAACTATTTATGTTTTACGAGTTAATAAGCTAGGTAAAACTTTAGTGAATAAGAAGGCCTGTTGATTCCCGTGTAATGTAACCTCTACAAAGATAGGCAGGATGACTTTGTAAAGGCCAAAACGTGCCATCAGTTCATGAAGTCACTGACCATTGGACTGAGTTGTGTTGGTAGATACAAGCTACCTGGCTGGGGGCCGCACGAATATCACAACCAGTGATTGAAGACGTTGAGTGACATGGCTAAGGAGCGGTCGCAGTTATGTAAATGGATTCACTATATACCTTCTCTTAAATATTGATTTTCGAAACTATATGATGCTTTATCGATTCACAAATCCATCTTTTCTCGAGTCGTATACTACCAGTGGTACTGTAACTGCTTCTTCTACTATTATTTTTGTCTTAATAACATCATTTCGCTGTGTTGCACCAACTTGATGCCCGTATGCACCAGGATCTAAATGGTGTTTAACTGGATGATCATATACAGACATATATTTCAATGTTTGTGTATAAGATGAACAAAAAATGTACTCCAAATAAACTGATTTCGTATTGTGGTCTACATATATAGAAACAACCTAGTACGCAATTAGGATGATGGTTTTGATAAGTCTCACTGAGCAGAGTATAATTCTACGATAATAAATGGTATCTATCGAGAATTTTCAATGGAAACATTTGTTCATAATTTGAGACATGTGAAAAATTGATTTAAGATGGATTCAATGAAAAATGTTTGCTTCAGATAGATATGTCAGTCAGTCAGCTACAACGTAGGACCAGGCACATATGTGCATCGGTCCAGGTTGCCATACCTCATTAGCACAGCAAGATGAACAGCGGATTCATAGGAGTGGTTAGGTCAAAGGTTGCAATAAGGATGATGAAGCAACCGAGCTATACTGGCTGGAACAACCGTTCCTCAAGGTCCTACCATGTCAGACAGGTCGGTTGAAGAGCGGTAAGACTAAAAGCAACAAACCCAAGGTCTGAAGGCGAAGTCGTACTGCTGACTGTACAGAGGTGTGACAGCAGTAAGGTGTTTCCTTCAGACAACCAGCATGACAGCGATGCTGCCTTCCCACAAGGAGGGGTGGGGTTAGAAAAGGTCGACCCTAAAAATGCACACCTCGCCTTATCCCACGGATATCCGTCTCCGGCGGTAAGGTCTCAATAAGTACGGAGCTAACACAAAAATTACCCATAACAAGGTCGTGTGTGACCGACCTCAAGCAGTTGTCCCTTGGGCACTGCGGTCACGCTCTCAGGTCACTAAGACCACCTTTAATCCAAATTCCTTTTCAGGTACCCCCAGAACAACCCTTCCACGATGTGGGCAACCGGGAAGTGAAAACCGCCCTCATACCTCTAACAGCACTCAAGACCACTGTATTCATAATCAGATAGATATGAGTAAAAAGACGCATTGAAATATACAGTATATGAAAGACAATTTCAAAATAAGATAAAACTATACATGGAGTCTGAAAACTGTTCTCATATAAGGCCTTCCATTTCACGCATAAACTCTTCATATGCATCATCTTTGCTAGTCGCTGATCCAGAATTAATTCCTGTATTATCAGATTTGGCAACACGATCATAAACAGCATTCGATTGTTCTAAAATTTAAATAAAAAACAATGACTGGATTATTTGGGTAGGATATATGGTAATACTTTGACTAAAAAATTTCGGGTTTTAAACCACATTTACGTGAGGCTTCAATTAGAGTATCGCATCCAAGCAGTTAGTTCATGTCTAATTAGGGATGCTATCACACTCGAACATGTTCAATGTGTGGAACTAAGTTTGTGATGGGTCTTTCCAAACTCACGATGAGCGCTTAAAACACCTAAATCTCTTTCTCGTATACTTGAACTTGAGGTGACCTTATAGCAACATTCCCTATCGTAAATAATGATGTATAGAAGGCATGGTTGAAAAACGGTTACTTTGAAACAACGGTCTCGATCATATATCCTCCTGTCGAACTCCAGCTTAGTGTCATGATCTAGTAGTGTGTAGAACTGCATTCACAGATAATTCCTAACCGAGCATTATAATACGTGTTTTTAAAGGACTATTTATAAAATATCCAATTTCCTGGTACAGTAATTAGTAATAACAAACTGATATTGTCCCGTCATATCCAGGGTAAGTGGGAATTAACTTGCTACATATACAGAAATAATATAAAAACGTTTACAAAGGTATCCTATGCGCCAAAATACTAAATAGACTGATCCTTTTGAAACTATACATTACTATAATGTAAACTCACTTCCTGTTCCATATGCAGCTGTCCCTCCACCTGTAGTGACTAGACGACCATTAGTATCACGAACAATTCTGCGTACTTTAAGAGCTGTAGGGACAAAACGTGTTGCGTCACCTATTAAATTTTTCAGTTGAGGTTTTGCTTCTATAGTAGTTCCACTTGGATTTGGTTGATTTGTTGGAATGCTCGCTACAGCTGGACCACTTACAAGTTCCGCATTATCAAGTGGATCACGAAGGTGCAAACTGGGTGGAGCTGATAATATAGGCCCGGTGGCTGAATGAAAACAGGGTTGAGATTAGGTTAAGAAACTAATAAAGAAGAAGCGTTTTTTATTTAAATGAACATGAGGTTTTATAATTTTACATCAATAATTAGAAGTGTATGATGGCTTAATCTAATAAACCGGACTGATGTAAAGTAAAAAAACTAAGTTGAAGTGGTGTGTCGCACAAAGTTACATTTACCAGTAACAGTTCCTCAGAATTCCCAGATTTTTGGTGTTGTTGGAAGGACTTGCCCTATAAAAGCTTATAACTAAAATATGCGTATTGGTAGTAAGAATGTTTTTACACCCGTCCTTAATAAATACATACATCTAGAAGAAGGTGTATTAGACTAACGATATACAACTAAAGTAGATCCAAAGTATATTTATAACAAAAAGCCCTCATAACCAAATTTTATGCGACTCATTTTTAATACTGATTAAATGCACAATGACTGGTCTTAGTTAATGAACCTGGAACGAGAGTGTCAGATATAATTAATGCAATGTTTTGAAAATGACTTACGGCGTTGGTAAGTGAAACGACTTAGAGTAGGCTGAGGTGCTCCCGGAAATCCTGGACGAATAAGGCCAGTAAAGGATGGTAAAGCCATGGGCGGCGGTAAAGGGATTTGAGAGAGTGGAGGAGTAATAGCTGCAAATTAAAGTAAGAAACAGAGTCACATGATTTAATTGCTAAGAGTTGACCGAAGCTCTGAAACACTTCGCAACTATAATGTTTCCTCAACTGATTTAAAGCAGTTGACTTACTAGAAATGGTGAATGGAAAATATATCAGAAGAATACGGATAAACACCATATAGTGATTAGACCAATATTTTCTAGTAAGTTTTAGAAAGACGGCGTTTTGAAATTCCTTACTCTGAATAATACCTAGATTTTGACTAGAGCATGCCCACCGGTAGAAAGATGTATTGGTTAGTAACAAAATTTGGAGGAGAATGACCATATATTTAATTTTTGGACGGCGTGGACCTGTTGCCTGGAGAAGGACTTCTCGACCTTGAATATGTGGATGATATTGTATTACTGTGCGATAACACCCCTTGTGTTCAAATAAATAATAAATAGTTATACAAATATTTAGGTGGGTGAGGTTAAAAGTATTTAGACAGTGATTTCTTTTAGTTACGTGGACTCATTCTGCAATGCCATGCAAAGGCATGGATAGTCAAAAAACATGAAGTCAATACACAAACATAGGGCACAGTCAGTACGCAACGCCATATGCATGAAGTTAAGTGGGATACGACTTTGGTGAAATTCAATAAATGTTGAGTCGAATGTGAATCAATATGATGTAAAGCCACATGTCACGTGCTTTAACAACTCTCACTGCCTATATTTATTGTTTAATATTCCGGAAATGCCGACTTCGCAACACATGACAAAAATCTAGAAGTAATCACTGTTTGGTCTAATGAGGAAATTCAAACATTGTATCTGGTGTCCCCTTTGTACCATTTTGTGCTCCAATAAATAAATATAAATTCAGTAAAAAGAGGTTGAGAGCTTGACTTACTTGTAAATCCACCGGTGAATTTTTCGCCGAGATGCAGAGATGAATCACCAATTAGTTCTTCTTGCTCCGGCTATAAAGAAACGTTATTGCATATATATACCACTTTACATACCATAGGGTCTGCATCAGCAAACCGGATTTTGCGTTGCTTTGTCGTATTATCAGCAAAATTATCTTCTTCTTCGCTATCTGACAATTCAGGAGGTGTTCCTGGAGGTGGTCCAGGCGGCTTACGACCTGCAGGAAGTATACTAGGTGGAAGCCCTGGAGCTCTGTCGGTATGAAAACAAGACAAATAAAAACTAAGTTTCTTGTTTTGGAATTTAATGCAGTGGTATTAATACGAGATCACAAAATTATTAGGTGAGTTTACTCCCTAAGACGTTATCAGACTTAGCTAAACAAAAACCACAATCGCGAATAGTATGAATGTTATGGCTCAAAGTGACAGCCGATTATATGACAGTGACTTATCGATCGGATCAAGGATTCAGAATCTCGATAGCCTATTCTGGTCCGTTGTCCCCAACTCTGCTAACTCGATCAAGAAGTCTGGGTAAGGTGTAGAAAGTGTATTCTACAGACAAACAGCAGATAACAAGTCAAGTCAAGCACACAAATCAAGCGTATTTATACAAATATTTACAATCGATATTGTCATGGAAGATTTTTGAACATTACTCAACAATTGACTGCTATTTGAACATTTAATCGATAGTTCATCAATTTAATCGATAGTTCATCAATTGACCTATCTGCACATTTAATCGATAAGTAAATTACAAAATTTGAGTTTTGGGGATCTATCGTCCCCAACACTCCTCCCCGTTTTAGAAGATCCGGAGTTGATATCCGGATTTTAAGTTTTCCAGGTCCATCCTCCCCCACGAAACAGTGTTGGATCCTCATATGCCCACGTTATAATTAACTTGAATTTGTTTAAGACATATTTATCGCACTGAACAGAGAATTGACTGAAAGTGACTAAGTCTTGAGGCTGAACAACACTTGATATGAGGTGTTCGAAGTTTAATTCTTCTGAAATATTGTGACCAAATTTATTTGGAATCTTATTTGTAGATAATGGATCATCAAGGTAATTAGCATCTATCAAAATTGTATTAAGCTTTTGATCATCATTTGATGCATCTGACATATTTTCTGGTAAAAGAGAATCTTGATAATAAGATTTGTCAAAAACGTCTGTCGCAGACTGATGAGAACCATTTGAAGCAGTTGTATTCAGTGTACTGCTCGATTTGTTTTCTGTTTCATGGGTGGTTATTGCGACAATTCTATGAGCATTTACCAGGGAGTGTGTTTGTGAGCTGGATAAGTCACCGTCTGCACATGCTGTTTTGGGGATAATGGAGTTTGAGTCCATTACCGGGCATGTTTCTGGAATGGAGAGAACTGGACCACTGGGCGAATCTTGAGTGACTGCTGTACCGTTTGAAATCCGGTTTATCGGGGATTCACTGGGGCTGCAATCATTTTCCAGCTCTGTGTGCAGTTGAGAGATCAATCCATCCACTTCCGTTGCATCTCCAAAGCATGAGTGATTTAACAGCTGCGTGCGTAATTTGACTAAAAACTCCAACTGTCTTTCAAATAGCAGCTGCACTCGATCGGAAGGGAGAGTCATTTTTTTTATTCAGCACCGGTAATGCAAATTACTGTTTGATTAATGACCAATGTTGCTGAAGGACACTGATGACAAATCTGGATGCTGAAGGCTGACTTTGGATTGTTCTTTTTTTACCCCGTCGCCAATTGTTATGCCTCAAAGAGACAGCCGATTATATGACAGTGACTTATCGATCGGATCAAGGATTCAGAATCTCGATAGCCTATTCTGGTCCGTTGTCCCCAACTCTGCTAACTCGATCAAGAAGTCTGGGTAAGGTGTAGAAAGTGTATTCTACAGACAAACAGCAGATAACAAGTCAAGTCAAGCACACAAATCAAGCGTATTTATACAAATATTTACAATCGATATTGTCATGGAAGATTTTTGAACATTACTCAACAATTGACTGCTATTTGAACATTTAATCGATAGTTCATCAATTTAATCGATAGTTCATCAATTGACCTATCTGCACATTTAATCGATAAGTAAATTACAAAATTTGAGTTTTGGGGATCTATCGTCCCCAACAATGAAGTTGTGCTATATTTTCAACCAATGCTCGTTTAAGTCAAATCACTTGTGACCTGATTTTTGCTGATGCAGTGTGGAGGCGACAACGGACAGCTTACCGTTACATTTTATTTTATCGATTGTAACTGCTGACTGAGAACAGTATAAATATTTGCCTAATATTTCTATTACCATTGGTGCTTTTGTAATCTCTATTATTCTGGGATTCGGTCAGACGATTTCATGTTACTTGATAAGCGAAATCACAATTTTCTATCAATTTTACTTTCATAACAACTAATTTTCACGTACGTATATTTATGTTGACCCTAAATCTAATTCATAACCTCAACCATCGACTGTATATCCTAATTCCTCACACTGGTTCATAACCCTCCTCCAGCCTTAGTTGTTAGGTGGACACTCTCAAGGTCACCTTGGTGTCGCTCAAAGATTGTCCATAAATTATAGTCCCACCAACAAAGCTGTTATTTGTATATTTGTGGTTTTGAGTCCACCAGATACAACTATATACGGAAGCATGAACCAGTGCATAGACAGACCAACATGAATCGTGCAATTACAGAGACAGCAATAATGAGCCAACCCTTAGTTTATAGATGGAAAAGATTATTGTGTATCGTGAGTGAAATTGATATTGACAAATATTTTAACTTACCCTAATGACTTCTTCAGAATACCTTTAGCGTAACCTCCAGGAGGCAACGGTATGTCGGACGTTATAAGACCCATCTGTGATTGCGGCAGTTTTGGGAGCGGAATTTCACTAGCTTTTACTCTTTCAGCTAACTTTACTTGTTCTGTGGACATAAAGTAAGAATAAATGCTTACCGTAATAAAGCATCATCTCATGCCGTCTTTTGTCGTAGTCTTGACGAGCTGCTTGGAGCCGGTTGGCATATTCTGCATCTTCCTTCCTCTAAATATAATTTTAACAACAATGTGAAATCATTTACGTATAACATAACAAGACGGTCGAATGTTTCCAACAGCTTTCGGCGTTTTTCCTGAATGACCCTTTCACTGAGTTGAGCTTGAACACTGGGATCATACTCTGAAGTTAAATTATTCTAACCCTAATACAATTTACCTTGTTTATCATAGAGAGTCGTTTCTTCTAATAATTGTAGAGGGTCTTTGGATTTAAGCACTGCATGACGCACAGCCATGCGTTGTTTTTTGTTTTTCTTCAATTCCCGTTTTCTTGCTTCTTTTCTCGCTTGATCTGTTGGGTTCATAAACTTTCCACTTTTTGTAGTATTCACCGAACGACGACCCATTTTCCACAATTTGCAGATTTTTCGGAAAGACCGCCGATGGTAGTTGGTGTCCTATAAACTTTCAAGTTCAAAATGTGTGTGGTGAAAAAGGACATTTTTGTTTTTAAACTTGAAGCGATATATGAAATAGGCAGTCTGGAACAGATCTAAGCAAATATATATCCATAAAAGATGAAAAACGTTGGTAAATTATAGAGATACTGTCCTTGTTACTTAAGAATATGTCAAGTCTCATCTTGGATGACCCCTGAGAATTCAAATGGTTCAAATTGTTGTAGACGGAATGAAAGAAGGTTTTGCTTAACTGGCCTTTGTTTCCAGCAGCAGTGGATCACCAATGCCTCCAGGCAGGAACTTAGGTATATTAACAATAAAAGAGGATAGAGAAATTGGTAAATCGAAGTAAGATACTAGCTTTACTCCTTAAGAATATATCAAGTTTTCTCTTAAAGGACTCCTGGAAAGTCGATTGAACTATCTTAGACGGGAGCAGATTCTAGCCATTGACTACTCTTAGGGATTGAAAATTGTGTCTACAGTCCGCTCTCTTGAGCCGTGTCTCCAGTTTCTGGGTATTACCCCTTATGCATGTATTGGAGCTTAACTTAAGAAGGTGTTTGAGGGGATGTCCAGAAGTGTTAAGGATGCTGTACGCCATTAGAACGTCGCCTCTAAGACGTCTATGTTCTAACGAGTAAAGGTTTAATGATTGGAGACGCTCTTCATAGGGCTTGAATTTGTGTCCTCAGACTCATTTTATGACTTGCCGTTAGATACGTTTCAGAGTGTCCTTATCCTTTTGAAGTGGGGGAGGAAATACTATTTTTCCGTACTCTGGATAGGGAGGAATGAAACTGTTGAAGATTAGGTGAAAAATTCTTCCGTCAAATTGGCCATTCTCTTGGACTAGCTCAATCGGCAGCTAAATCCACTGTTTTGTGTTGCGCCCCCCAGTTTCTGTGTGCTTTCCGTGAGCTTTTGTTGGGGTGAGGTGAAGTAGGTATTTGAGGGGACGCCCTGAAGTGTTTGGGATACCGTATGTCATTAGAAGTTCACCTCTAAGACTCCTGTACTATAACGGGTAAAGGTTTGGTGATTTCAGATGCGATTCTATCATAAAACTCCTCACGAGTCACCAAATCTCAATGTCATCTTTTAGGAATGAAATCGATGACCTTGTTTATTTAACAGACCACTTACGCAGAGCAGGAGAAGTTTGCATGAGTTCTCCTTTTCGGGAACCTAAATCTCCAGGGATTCCCTCATAATGTCTAGCGTGCAATATCTATTTGTCAAGTCCGTATTAACCAAATGATTTCTCTGCTCTCAGCTCCCAATGTTTCGGTACGGTTCCAGGTGTTTTGTAGAGTCTAATGAAGGATAATCTAGTCCCTCAGCCCCACTAAGTCTAGTCAGTGTAGCGGTTTTTTATGGATTTGAAGTTTTTGAAGTTTGAGTGAGTAAATTTGCCTCAGGGAAGCAGGGTTTCTGGTCACCAGGTAACAATCAGACTACATGGTAAGACGTCGTTTGGTTGTAATGTGAAAATAATGAAGTGGCCGTTTGAGTGATAAAAGAAGACAATTGTCTGAAGAATAAATAAATATTTTACTTACTTGCTGCTATACTGTGTTAGTTCCCTCTGGGAGCATGGTGGGGATGTTCTGGTAATGTACATTTGTCTGCGTGGCCTGGTATACTTAATATGTTCTATACTATTATAACTTCTTATTCTTCCGTGGCTGAATAAAAATAAAATTAGGTGTTGGAGTCTATTTTCGTACGATTTGTGTCTTAGACTTACCGCCCACTTAGTTGCTCGTCCCTGTGTTTGGTCTATAGACTTGTCTTTTTAGCAGGAGGGGTGCCTTGCGAACTTCAAGGTGAGGCCGTGTGTAGGTTTAACAGTGCTAGGAACAAGTCTGGGATGGTTCAGCTACGTTATCTTCGCATAAGGTGGAGACTTGGGTTTGTCTTAGGTACATCCCTTATGTGATTTGCACTAGTGTTTAAACTTTCCGTTGTCAGAAGTCCGAACTCATGCACTGAGGAGACAGTCGGTAGCAGATTTTCGCGGGAAGTATAGTGTTTATAACATGACATTTCGACAGGTTACGTTTTACTACATTGTCTGATATCCATCCCTCTATCGTTGTAAGGTCCTTCTGAAACTCAAGTGATTCACTTTCGTCCTCCAGACCTTTGCGTCACCTTCGTAGATCAGTGCCGCCAAGCTAATTTTATTTTACAGGTTTTAGTTAAGATCATGAACAAGAGCGAACATAAGATTGTTCATCGTGAAACTCCAGATGTCGAGAGACTCTGATCAGCGTGGACTCCATCTTCGTACAAAACATCTCGTTCTTTAGGTTGCTGCTGTGCCGGAATAAAAGTCGGTCAGTGGAACCCATCGTTCGAGCCTTCGATATGAGATGTACATGAGGTACTGCATCAAAGGCTTTTCGAAGTCGAGGAATATTGCATGAACCAATATCTTTTGGTTCTAGCAGTTTGTCCAGCAATCGCATGGGAAGCATATGACCTACTTTTTCTGAACCCATGTTGGATTTCATAAATTTTGTTTTTATTCATGTATTCCCTTATTTTTTCACCGAGCGATCCCTTCATTATCTTCAAAAGTAATGCGACTGGTCTGTAACAGCCTGTGTCTTTTTGTATCCTCCTTCGAATATTGGAGTGTGAGCCTATTCTGTTTTCTTGAGAGTTGATGTGAATCCATTGAGTGCCTGAACGGGTCATATTGGTGTGCTGATGTTTCGCGCGCACTGTATCAGGACTACAGGATGAATTCTGTCACGTCCTAGCGACTTTCCTGGGAGCAGGGATTTCATTATCCTTATTAATAACCTGTGAGTTAGTTGAATTTCTCTCGGACACTCAAATGGGACTAGAGTTGTAAGGTGCTTCAAGTTCGCAGGCCTTAGTTTTACTGTGTGTGGAGTTGACATTGAAGATGTCTATCATCTGTAAGTTAGTAGGGTCTTTGCCATCTAACCATACGATAATACAGATCCCATGGCTTGTGAGTTTTCTCCTGGTTATGAATATGTGGGGATATTTGGAATCAGCTTGCATTGCAACTGCTATAATAGCTTGAAAACATCTATCACATCGGACTTTGGTGCTGCATCTGTTTTTCAATCCCACAAGGAGACTTTCTTTCTGTTCCAGGTTCTCTGTTTGGCCTGTAGCAAGCGTTTTGTGCCTCTCTTAATCCAAGATTTTTAATTTTCAGGTTTCTTGTCTGAGAGACGTTGGGATTCTGAATGATGACCGTGACTACGTCACATTGGTCATCCACTGTTATCCCAACCACTCTCGTCACCAATGTGCCTATTGAAATTGCTTCCTTATCGTCATGTGGTCTGTTCTAGTGCGGCTCAGATAAGGAGTGTCCTGCTCCGTTCGGAGTCTCGTGTTGGAAATGACTGTACCGTGGTCGCTACTTCTTAATGATGCGTGGACGTGGAAATCCTCAGCTGGCAACTGACAACTTGTCAGTAAATGATTTCTGTTTGGGGGTTTTCCGTCTGTCCTGAACTTCTGATGAATATGGCAAGCCGCTTAAGCAACCACCTCGTGGGGATTGTCACCTGTTTGTTGAGATATAGGGATGGATTGTTGAAGTCTCCAGCTTGCAGCACTTGTCAAACTGCAGGTGTAATGGCCGTATATCGCCTGCATTATCACATCTTTTCGAGTGTTAGAATATGTGGAGGCCGGTATGCTCCTCCAATCAGGTACTTTGTTCCATTAACATTGAGCAACACTGGCATAATTCTGCCACCTCAGTTAATTCGAAATCGTATGTTGTTACTTCTATGAGATAACCGTTAATGTTTATAGCCACCTTCTATTTTATGCACCCTATTTTACCGTAAATGTCATGCTCTGCATGCCGACTTCTGAATATGTGATGTCGGTCGATAGCCACAATCTACCTAGAACGATGATCTTCAAATCTAATTGAAAGCATGTTTCGGACTTTTCCTGGTTTGCTCCTCAGTCCTTTTACAGTGCTTTATAGGCATATGATGGTTCTTCTCATTACCTAGTGATCATATATAACAGCATCTGTCTTCTAGTTCTAAGACAGCTCATTGTTTAATGTGTACTTCCTAATCCCATGCGAACAGCTTTATGTGTCGCTTCAGAGTTGCGCCTCAGTTACGTCTTCTCGGTTTCTGAAGTTCACAGACATCAAAGGCGGAGACCAAATGGTCACGGGGTTAAACGGACGAAGTATCTTGGGCACGCTACTTATTGTAGCTGTGTGAATGCTTATTTTACAGAATAACCAACGCCACTGTTGCATATTCTGTTCGTGAGCTTCATCCCGATTACCAACTAATAATACAGGCACTCCGTGAGCCACAATGCCGATTGATTCTCCGGTGTCTGATGACTTTTTGGAGGCCTGCACTACCACACACCATTTGTCGTGTCTATATCAGACTTGGGAGAATCGTTTAACCGATGGTCTCTGGGATATCGGTAAAATTTTCCCTAAATTTAAAGTTACCCATTATGGAGAGAGTGTATTTTTGGTTACGTTCTGGCACTTATACTGGAGGCACGGCTTGGCTGAACTGGTGCCTTTTTCCGTCGTTGTATAGTGTTTGACTCAATGTTCTTTATCAAAAGCTGCCCTGCTTTCTAACAAACTACTCCTCGGCATTGGGACACGAGATAAAATCAGAGTTCCGTTTGAAGTTTTTGGTACCTACTTTTGACCTTTTGGGAGCCTAGCTATTGACATTTCTTTTCTGAACGTCCATCCACTGTTCCTTACTTTCAACAAATAGTGGGGTATCAGCAACACTTGGTGATTTCGCCGATATGTGAGCTAGGATTGTGATTCCCATAGTCAAGTGTTTGTCTGGGCCTATTTTTGGAGATTCAGATATACTTTTATGGACTGGTACGGTAGCTTCTGACTAGGTCCTAATTCTGTAAAAAGGCTTCAAGTTTGTCTATAGCCATTTTTTTCATTTTTACAACCTCTAGTAAAATACTAGGTTCTAACCGAAAATCCGTATTGTCCAGTTAAGAGATT